AAGAAGAAGAAGAAGAAGAAGAAGAAGAAGAAGAAGAAGAAGAAGAAGAAGAAGAAGAAGAAGAAGAAGAAGAAGAAGAAGAAGAAGAAGGTGTTTCTTACGCCCCATCAACCCTATTTAGATAACTTAGGAGACGGCCTTCCGACCATGTCTGCAAGGGTTTTAACCTCAGGTGAGTTGGATACGAGGAGTGAAAGAAAGAAAACGAAAAGCAGAAAGAAAGAGAAAAGGAAAGAAAGAAAAAAGAAGTAAGGAAAGAAAAATAGAAAGAAAGAGAGTAAGTAACAGGGAGAGAGATAGAGAGAAGGAGAAGAAGTGATGAGAGAAAGAGAGATGAATTAATTAATGTATACTAACTGAACCATGAATAGATATAAGAATGTCAATCCTTGTCAATCCATGTCCTCAGTGTTAGGGTCATTGCAGTCGGAACATGTCCATCTCTGCCCCCCCCCCACCCCCACCCGCCCTTTTCAGGATCCACCCCAGAGTCTGTCTCCTTACTGTCTCCATCATAATCTGGTTGGAGATCCGTCGGCCTGGTCCGCACAGGTGGCTGTGTTTCCCTTTTCCTCTTTGGACCCCCTTCTACTTCAATCTACCTAGGGTGTGGGAACCGCTATCTGCTCTATTCTTCCTCAAATTTTCCCTTACAACGGTCAGGACGGTTGGTGGGTCCAGTATCAAATTACCCCCGCGTGACCCGGGCAGAAGATCCCGGCCACTCTTTTCAAGCTACTCTCCCTGATCGTAGCCTTCCAGTCCGCGAACAGCATCCCTTTCTGTACCTTCTGTAGTGTGCTCGTAGAGTCAGTAATGATTACTGCTCGCTGATGGCTTGGTTTTTTTAAATCCAGTGTAGAGTCTCACTAATGGATTTTTCGATGTTGTCAGTGCAGAATAAGAATGTGTGCGTGTGAAGACGTCTTCCCCGAGTAGACGTGATTGAATTTCAAGCGATGCCGGCGAAAATAATTTTATTTAAACTTATTTATTATCGCTCACCACGTTAGAAATTGACTTGTTCTGCATGCAGTATACGCATGTGCATGCACACAGTACTGACAGTACGTTAGACACGAGATCTATTCATATTCAGTGACGATATCATTTTTTTTCTTTTTCTGCCCTCCCTCTTGTCCTCCTCCTCCTCCTCCTCCTGACATTCCCCTCTTCAGTCGCTGTCTCTCTCTCTCTCTCTTTCTCTCTCCCTCTCTCTCTCTC